ATTATGTGGTGGCTGTTTTGAGGAACGCTTCATCAGTCAGTTGACATTTTATTCTTCGAAAAACGAAATGAATTTGAAAATTAACACGACATTTAAGGTTTCCTATCACTTTTTTTCTCTTTTTACTATCAGCAAGCGAAAAGGACGCTGCATAAGTAATAAAGCGTTCCTTTTTTCAACTAAACATTACTTTGTTTGTTTGTTTCAAGCTCGTTTGCAACGCTATTTTGATGGACTTTCAAAAGAGAAGTGAAGAAAAGGTTGCCTTAGATTTTGCTGCTATTCACGTAACGTACGATCGTATTCAAGCAAGGATCAACAATTTTCATCAACTGATCAAAGCAGAACCTAGGTTACGGCAATTGTTATCAAGTAGCTCACATCCTCTGGTAGGTTTTGTTGAAAAAAGTGAATTGGCATACTATTGAATAAGGTTGCATCATATTTTTCTTTGCAGCTAATGTTTAAAATGGTGCCAGTTGTTTGTAGCAAACGAGAGAGAGTTCAGCACTTCAACTAATACTCTTTTTCGTATTCGTATAAACTCATTTACCCAAAGGAACTTTGTTTCAGGAACCTCTTGAAAATGAGCGGTCTTTTTGGAAATAATCAACATGGTTGAAATCTGTGTACGGTGTACTAACTACTTTTATAGACATTATATGAGTATTAAGTGCGGTATGAGGTTTTTTAGTGAACACGGTCGCGAAGGTCCGCCCTGGTACCTTAATACAGTTCTTGTCTTTCTTAGGGTATCGACGTTGCAGGCCTGTTGGCCTGTTTGGAAACACTAGAACCCAGGTCTGAAGACTTAGACACAAATGAGCACAGGAATCAATGGTGTGGAAGGGTATTAAATGTAAGAAAAACCATTGAAACTATGACATCAAAAGATGTCTTCTCGAAGACCTATGTGGAGACTGAACGATATGAAGAAGAGGAAAAGGAGTTGCTCAAGAAGATCTGGTAAGTGACCAAGATTCAAATAAAGTGCATTTTGACCTTTCTCGAATTAACTTGAATGACCACGAAACGAAAAGTATTGATCTTACCTGAAGTAAATAGATCTCTTTACCTTGGGCGTAATGTTTTCCCATTTCATGTCATGTGTCATTCTATTGAGAATAGGATTCTTTGCTTGAGTTGTATCCATATACATGTGTCTTCTCATGCACAACCATTAAACAAAGAAATAATACTCGTGGGAATGACACGTGGCCTGAAAAGAGAAAACATTACGCCCAAGCTAAAGAGCTCAATACTGAGGCACATGAAACCGTGCCTGTGCATCAAATTGAGGACAGTGGCTACCTTTCAAGATGGCACAGGGAACAGTGAAGGGGACCATTGAATCAGGGGTTATATGCACTAGTTAAGTAAACTAAAAGATATGATAGGTTTCATCAATGTCTACCACTGATATTCCTAACAATTAAAACTACTGTTTATATTTAGGTTGATGTGGCAACGTTTGAATGTTGTTAGACTATTCATCGATGACGTGTGCAATGCTTGCCGACAACTGAATGATGACGAAATCACTCAATATGTTAATAAGCTTTGGAAGGTAATCACGTCCTTGCGTAAGGAGTGGTAATACTAGAGTAATTCTTCCGTTTTTCCACATTCCAAATTGTATAAATAAAGCTGATGCCAAGGCTCCAATATATTCTTAGGTACTCGGAGAAGATCCAAATTTCTTGAAAGTCACGTATGTTCATCGACTAGAAAGGTTCTTACTGGACTGCAGCTACGATCTCAGTAGACGAAACAAGTGGTGAGAATTATCCTTTTTTCCTCCCGTCCATTTTTTCCCATTCCATTTCATGCAAACATCTTTCACTCGAAATTCTTTGGTGTTATTTCATTTGTGGTACTCTAAGTTCCAGTCGTTTCCAACGCCCCAAAAATTGAGGGCATTCTACATCTTCATCTAAATCTACATCTTGACATTGTTATTATTATCATTATCATCATAAACATGCTTATTAACATCATCAACATCATGATTATCATCATCAACAACATTATCATCACCATCATCACCTCCATCATCATAATCATCACCATCATCATCATCATCATTATTAGCATCACCATCATTATCATCCTCATTAGCATCATCACCACCATCATCATCATCATCATCATCATTATTAGCATCATCACCATCATCATCACCATCATTATTATCATTTTCACCGTCATTATTTTTGTCATCATTATCACCACCATCATCATCGTCATTATTGACAACTGGGATTGATAATTATTTTACGCATATGTATCATATCCTTTCAGTTTTTATTTCGTTCCTTAACTTGCTTCCTCGATCTTTATTTCCTTTATTCCTTTCAAATGCCAGTCTTTCTTCCTTTACTTCAGTCACCCATTCTTTCAACTTTTTTTCCTTTATTTTTAGTTCCGATGCAATGACTTGTCCCATTTGTGGACGTGAGGTTGAACTACCTTCTGTTGCGCCTTGTGGTCACTGTACGTGTTTAGAGTGCGCTATACGTTGGTCTAGTGAACGCTCTACTTGTCCAAAATGCCGGGCGCAATTTCCAGCTGATTATGTACCCAGCGAATCCAAAACTATGAGGTACGGACAAATATTACAAGACATTTCAATGATTTCGTTTTCATTGATGGCAGCTATAAATGTTATCCACATCTAGGGGGTAGGGGGTTGGGAAAATTTGACAGTGGCCAAAATTTCAAATTTGTTAGGTCAGACACCAAGAAATGGGGCTAAACACTTAATGATGGATAAAAGTATCTTTTTTTTATTTAATATTCTGTCAATCGTTCCCTCTACTCCTCACAGAAATGCAATAGAAAACGTGAAGGAATTTCGAAATCATTGTAACTCCTACTTTATGGAGGTGGTTTCACTGTTTTGCTTTGGTTATTTCCCGTGTGGTTCATTGGAAGAGGACACGTTCGATCTTCTTATGAGTTTCGCAACAGGAGACAAGGGCTCAAACACAAAGTCATTCTCGCCTTTTCCGGATTATGGCGTAGATTCAACACCTGTTGTCAGGTCGTTCTTGCTGCAACAGCTCTTAAGATCAAGGTAGGACAAGCAACATTAAATTACTCTATAGTGAACCTGTGGGCCTATTTCTATTCCAATTAACATTAAAAGTTGATTTTTGTTGTTGGTAGGGTGGGGGGG